CTGCAGTCATGGTGGCCATTTCCAAGCAGAGGGGGAAGCAGAGAGTGTGGGAGTTGATGGGAGGAGGGTGGTCTCAAAGAGCCTCCTTCAGGGAGTGGAGAAGTGGTGGGGGAGTACCCAAAGAAGAAATGCCAGTAAATATAATTATTCACATGCAGATCATCCTTCTCACGTTCTGAGCCCATTATTAATGCATACCTCCAAGCTCTACCCGCATGCCCACCACAGCACAGAAGGTACCCAGGGAGGGGTAACCAATGCTAGATCTAAGCCTGTGCCCGGCCAATGCATTAGCCACTACCCTCATGTACGTGTGACTATGAGCATTAAAATGTGGCTGGTCTGCACTTAGATGACCTGTAAGTGTAAAATGCACATGAAGTTTGAACACTGAGTATGGGGGAAAAAATGCAAAATACTCATTAATCATTTTATGTTGACTATGTTGAAATATTTTGAATATACTGAGTTAAATAAGCTATTAAAATTAATTTCACTTATTTTGTTTTACTTTCAATGTGGCTACTGGAACATTTAAAATTACATATGCAGCACTCATTTCCGGCTCACGGTATAGCTTCATTGGACAGAGCCGGTGCAATATCGAACAGTGTTGGTCCAAACAATGTACCAGCACATGCCTTTTAAATTTCACTAAAAAGAAGGGAGCAAATACAAGTGGCTTCCAGATTAGTACCTATTTTACATTTACTGTGATACAGTTTCATTTTATTAAGCTGGAGAAGAGTTGTAAGATTTGTCATTTTAAAGGGGTTGAGGTTTCAAAATGCATCCTATAGCTATTGTTAAAAATCTATTATTCATTCTCTAGTTGCTGCCACCAGCAGGGTGACTCGTAGACCCCACCAGGTTAAGATGACAGACACAAACCAAGCCTAGGTCACTTCAGGCATGTGCTTTGGTGTGTTGTTAAAGTCTGTCCCTGTTTGTTCAGTCCAGTGGTTCTCGAAGTACATGGTACATCAGAATCACCGGGGAGGTTTGCATGCAAACTCAGCATTCTCATGCAATGTCCAGGAATCTGCATTTTTAAAATCAGCCTAAGTATGTTCTAATGCCTGAACACACTTCTAAAGCCTGCAAAACACTTTAAAACCAGTGTTTCCATTGGGTGTGGTGGCTCACATCTGTAATCCTAGCACTTTGGGAGGCCAAGGTAGGTGGATGGCTTGACCCCAAGAGTTTTAGACCAGCCTGGGCAACACAGCGAAACCTTATCTACAAAAAATACAAAAATTAGCTGGGCATGATGGCGGGCACCTGTAGTCCCAGCTACTTGGAAGGCTGAGGTGGAAGGATCACCTGAGCCAGGAAAGTTGAAGCTGCAGTGAGCCGTGATTGCACCAGTGTACTCTAGCCTGGGTGATAGAGGTGAGACCCTCTCTCAAAATAAACAAACCAATGTTCCCAGCCTTTTTCACCAGAATAATTGCCTCAGATATTTGCCAAATATGCAAAATTATTCTCAGACAATGCAGAAATGCAGACTCAGACTCGAAAACTCCAGGAGTGGGACTTGGAAATTTGGGGAGATGATGTCACAAACCAGCAGTCCTTAACCCTGGCCATGCATTAGATTCCCTGGGGGCTTTATAGTCCTGATGCCCAAGCCATATCCAAGTCCAATCACATCAGACTTTCACTAGGTGGGATTTAGACATCTGTGTTCTTTGAAGTTCTCCCAGTGGTTTCAATTTACAGGCAAGGTTGGGAAGCACAAGTTGGTCAGTAGCAAATTAACCCACCTCCCTTCTACTTTTACGAAGTTAACTATGTCATTTGCTTCTACTTAGTACTCCCAAGCGCCCAGAATAAAACGTCTAAGTACAAAGGCCATAATATGTTATGTCCTAAACTGTTACTACCTTTTTCTAATCTGAGAAAGTTTTCTTCCAGATTACGTCCACCGCTCCTGCAGGCTGGCTGTTGACTTTCTGTACAGCTGTTAGTTCCAGCACAGGTGTTAAATATTTCATTAACAATTTCTGCTGCAACTCTGAGTACCCCCTCCCCAAACAACTCCTCAACTCACTGCAGAAGCCACAAGCCCCTGCAGCTGCTCTCAGAACGCTTTTGATGGCACCACATTTTTTTTTCTGAAGGGAGCAACACCTGCTGCAGTTGCTTCCCACCTGGGCAGCTTTCCTTCCTCTGAAAGGATAACTGCCTGATCGATGAGGTGTTTTTAAAGGGGCCATGACCTTATTCTGTCTGCATAATTTGGAGAGATACATTTAAAGTGGAGATTTAAAAACAAATATATATTTGTCTTCACAACTGAAATTCTTTCCAATTTGCCCCCACTGGATCCTATACAAACTTTACAGTAATTGTCATACTGAATTATAATTAGTGTATGCATGTGTCAGAAATCAGAACATGATACCCCAAAATATGGCGTCTTGGCAATTGAAAAAAACCTCAGAAGCAAGAAGCCCACTTTCTCCCGACTTTCTCCCCTGAAGCACGATCATAAAGGAATTCTCTGACCTACCACCCCTAAAAGAAGGTCATAAGAACCTGATTCTAGAGGATTCCAGACCCTACAACCAGAGACCAAGAAGAATCTGAACAAACAGGGCCTTGCTAAGTTCCCTCAGTTTATTACCTTTAGGTCATACCCCTTTTAGTCCAGTTACGATTCTACACAACTGCCCATTCTTCATCGAACTTCAGCATAAAAATAGTTTTCCCTGGGAGTCTTTGGGTCTTCATTTATGAAGCCTCCCATGTCATGTAAAACTTTGGTTAAATAAATTTGTTACACTTTTCTCTTCTTGTTAATCTCTCCTTTGTTATAGGAGTGTCAGCCATAAAATTTTTGACAAGGGAGGAAAAGCTATTCCTTCTCCCCCACGCATAAATCTCTGCCATTCAGTTTACACTTCCTGAGGTCAATGTGTCCTACTCAACTCTGTTTCCAAAGTCTCTAATAGGATGCCTGGCACACAGAGAGTTCTTTGTAAATGTTGAAATCAACTAAATATGTAAGTGAGGTGCTATACTTTGGGTTTCTGACCTTATCTCCATCCAGAATCCTGGGTCACCAGTAAGCAAAAGTAGCCATAGGGCACCGTTCTGGCCAGTGAGATGTAGCAGAAGTCCTCTGGGTAGGGCTTCCAAGAGTTTTTGTTTTCCTGACCAAAAAAAGGGACAGATTGGGCCTGCCTTCTCTACCCTGTATTCCTCCCTGCTTGCTTCTTTCTTCTTCCTGCATGGAACTCAGAAGTAAATCCTGGAGGTGCAGCAGCCATCTCGCAATCATGAGGTGAGAAAAAGAGGACAGTGCCAACAAACATGCTCTGGTTAGAAAAACAGAAGCATAGGAAGAGCCCAGGCTCCTGATGGTAGCAGCTGCACCAGTACTGAACTGCCTGCCTGCGTCTAGACTTATTAGAGAAGAAAAAAAGTTCCCATGTACACTCCCATGGTTAAGTTTTGTTATTTGCAGACAAACATACTCCTAACTAGTATGAGAAGGATGTTAAGAAGTATGCATTTCAAACACCTAGGATTTCTCTTAACACATAGACACCCATTAAATGTTTGCATATTCATTTATTCATACAAATATTAACATGAATGAATTCTGAATGAATGAGTTAATGAATGATTGGTTGTTTTTTTTTTTTACACAAGATCATCTTCTAATAAAAACAGACTATTCCCTTACTTTAAGTTGTCTTCAACAATTTTATAACAGCTTTGTTTCAGAGTCTGTAGACTATATATATTGGTCCTAGCATTCCCGAGGCTCATTTCTTCCTGTTAGAAAAAGTAGTCCAATTGAAGCTGCAAATCATACAACAAACAGTAGAAACAGCCTCCTGGTGTTACCAATTCCCCGAGTGTCATATTTCAAGTATTCTGTGTAAGGCAGGGTGGGCAGAAGGGTTTCCTGCTCCAAGATTAGTCGGGTGGGATTCGCCTTTTTTTTTTCCCTCTCCAACCTGGGCTGCTCAGCTGCAGTATGTGCACAGGGCACGTTAGTGGGCAGAGCCAGGAGCTGAGGCATCCACTCCCAGGGACCAACTAAGAGGCTTCACCTGAGGATTGGTGGTTACAGTTGCCCCACTAGTAGCTACATTAAGAAAGCTGATTAAGAAGGGAGAGAAGAGACATCCGCTGTCTCAGATTGAACCATGAGGCAATTCCCAGGACCCAATCTCCTGCTCTACAACCTAGAATTCTGTGGACTCTTTTTTTTTTTTTTTTTTTTGAGACAGGGTCTTGCTCTATTGCCCAGGCTGGAGTGTAGTGGTGTGATCATAGCTCGCTGCAGTCTCAAATTCCTAGGCTCAAGTGATCCTCCCACCTCAGCCTCCCGAGTAGCTGGAATTACAGGCACGCACCACCATGCCCAGCTAATTTTTTTATTTTTTGTAGAGATGAGGTCTCACTATGTTGCCCAGGCTAGTATCAAACTCCTGGGTTCAACCCATCCTCCTATCTTGGGATTACAGGCACGAGCTGCCGCATCTGGCCTCTTCATTTTTTAAACTTGGCTCTAAGCAGCTTGGCTTCCTATCTTGAGAAAGGTATGTAAATGCTTGGATTTGGGGTGTACATTTTATGATTTTAAAATAGAGCTGGTTTTTATCAGCTTCGATTTTTAAAATATTGAGCAGTTTTGATATGGCAGGCACTGCGCTAAGTGGTTTTACATGCATTGTCTATGTAATACTCACAGCTTCTCTACTGCGATAGGTGCTGGTACTCTTCTTGGTTTACAGATGAAGAAACTGAAGCTTAGAGAGGTAACAAATTGGCCTAGATCACACAGAGCCACAAATCCACTCTAGAGTGGCCCCAGAGCCCCTTTATTCATTCCAACTATCCCGCATACACTGGTTTGGAAGTGGACAGCACATTCCCCCTATTGCTACGCCCAAACCCACCCCACCAAGACTCAGGACAGCAGGCTCCTGTGTCTGACCTAACACGGACAAACACCACCTCTTCCATATAAGGACACTTACACTGAGGGGAATTTTTCGGCTTGTGTCTTCTGGATCAAAGGCCTCAACCTGGTAAATGAATCCAGGGTTTGCTCCTTCTACTATGTAGAGGTGTAGACCTATACCAGTGTCCAAAGTGGAATCAGAAACATCTTATTAAAGCAAAAATGGGGAATTCCAAAATCAGGGCAGCTGTACACAACCAAGGGAATCAAGCGCGTTGGCATCGTGCGGCCAAGAACGCAATAAAAAAAATCCATGAGCAAGACCACGGGCCAACTGTCCTGCATGGATCCATTTAGGGGAATTCATAAAGTGCTAGGGTTGGCCAAGCGGGTACCGAGTCTTCATTCATGTCCTCTGTTGAGAGGTGCTCCAGAGTGATGCTCTTTGAGTTGGGGGAAGGAGGAGGTGATGAGGCAGAGAGCTGGGAAGTGAACCCAGGTAGGAACCTCCGGTGTGAGGCTCCCCATGTGCTGAATTCGCTTTAACGTGCAAATCCCTCCTCAACTGTGCTAAGTTACTCCTTGAAGGACACTTGGCAGCTCCGCAGAAATGAGCCGCTGAAATGAGGGACCTTACAGCGGAACAGAGATAGACAGAATAAGTAGGGGAGGGCTACAGAGTCTCAAGGGAGGAACCAAAAATTGATTTCATCTGTTTCAGAGTTTTTCACGGTGATGCGGGAGGAGGGAGGAGCAGGCGGTACCAGCACTGACCGAGGGGCCACAGAGCTCTCATTCGGGCATTTTTTTTGTCTGAGCGATGACGGACAATATGAAAAGTAACTTGGCCGGGCGCGGTGGCTCATGCCTGTAATCCCAGCACTTTGGGAGGCCGAGGTGGGCAGATCATGAGGTCAGGAGATCAAGACCATCTTGGCTAACACGGTGAAACCCCGTATCTACTAAAAATACAAAAAACTAGCCGGGCGTGGTGTCGGGCGCCTGTAGTCCCAGCTGCTCGGGAGGCTGAGGCAGGAGAATGGCGTGAACCCGGGAGGCGGAGCTTGCAGTGAGCCGAGATCCGGCCACTGCACTCCAGCCTGGGCAACAGCGAGACCCCGTCTCAAAAAAAAAAAAGAAAAAGAACTCACTCTTTTGGGGGCACCATGCTGAGGACTTAACATACATTTTCTATTTTCATCTTCATAACGGTTCTGTTAATATAAAGCAGCTATTGTATTTATTCTTTTAGTCTAATTAGTGCTTTTCAAATGAGAACACTGAGTCTCGGGGAAGCTATGAAGTTGTCCTAGCTAGGACATGATAGAATCAAAATTCAAATCTAGATGCCTTACATCTGAGCTTGAGCTTTCACTCACTTTTTGTCAGTCTCATGCTTCATTTAAAAAAAAAAAAAAAAATCTACTGAGGGCTATGTCCAGACACTGATCTACACACTGGGAATACAGCAGCTCACAAAACAGAACCTTACTCTCATGCAACTTCCGTTTCCATGGGAAGATATGGATAGCAAAATAATTGAGTAAAATCTGTGTATATTAGTGAGAAACATTATGAGAAATATCGGGGAAGGAAGTGTGAGTTGGGTTACAATTTTAATAAAGTGGCTATGGAAGGTTCACTGTGGTGGGGAAGGGCATGACACTTGTCAAGATATTTTTTCTTTTTTTTTTTTTTTTTGAGGTAGGGTCTTGCTTTGCCACCCAGGTTGGAGTGCAGTGGCACAAACACAGCTCACTGCAGCCTCGACCTCCCGGGTTCAAGTGATCTCCCACCTCAGCCTCCTGAGTAGCTGGAACTACAGGTACCTGCCACCACACCTGGCTAATACTGGTATTTTTTGTAGAGATAGGGTTTTGCCCTGTTGCCCAGGCTGGTCTTGAACTCCTGACCTTAAGCAATACTACCACCTTGGCCTCCCAAAGTGCTGTGATTACGGGTATGAGCCACTGCACCTGGCCTTAAAGAAATGAGGAAGAGCCGGGAGATAGGAGGGGAGGCAGAGGAATCAGCAAAAGCAAAATGCTGAGGTAGGGTCATGTCTGAGGCATTCATAGGTCAGTAAGGGGGCCAGAGGCTGGGTCACAGGGACTGAGGGGGAGAAGGGGAAAGGAGGAGGGGTGGGAGGGTAAGGAATGTAGGCAGCTTGCCAGATTTAATGGGTTCTTAAGGAGACTCCCTTTTAGTGAGACGGGAATTTCTTGTAGGGTTTTAAGCAGAGTGCCTTGATTTAACTGATGTTTTAATAGGATCCCCCTGGCTGCTGTATGGAAAACAGACGGCAGGGGGGCTGGGAGGCCAGCTGCCAGCCATTGCAACAATCCTGGTGAGATGGGATGAGTGGCTTGGACCATGGTGGTAGTGATGCAGACACTAGGGCAGGGTCAGATTCTGGGTATATTTAGAAGCTGGCAAGATTTCCTAATGGATTTCATGTCAAGTGTGAAAGAGAGAGGAGTCAAGGATGACTCAAGGCTTGGTCCAAGCAACAGGAAGGATGGAGTTACTGCTAACCAAAATGGGAAAGATACAGGAGAAGCAGCAGATTTGGGTGGGGGTGCAGGGTGGAGGGTGGAGAGGAAGCCAGGAGTTTGGTTCAGAAGCACATTAAGTTTGTGCTGTCTGTTAAACATCCGTGGAGATGCTGGGTGAGAAAGGTGGATATTTGTGTTACGACTGCCACAGTTCAGGGCAGAACCTGGACTGAAATGACTTCAAAATTGTCAGAATAGAGATGGTGCTCAAAGCCATGAGCTGGAAGGAGATCCTGTAAGACGTTAGTTACTGTGTGCTTTGGTCCCTTACATTGTCCCTATTGTAGCAGACACACACTGCCCTCAAGGAGTGAGAGTCCATGGGGAGAATGAACAAGCCAGTCAGTGAGTGGGGTGCACAGGGATGAACCTAGGGGCGGCTCAGCCAGGTTCCTCCACAATGATCCACTCGCGGTCTCTCTCCGAGCTTCAGTTTCCTGCCCAGGACCGGGAGGGGACCAGGAGAAACCCTGCCTGTGAAGGGCTTTGCGTTATGATTGGGAGTGTTGAGCTAGAGGACGTTTCATTTATTCCCTGCTCATTAAGCAGCTGCCTTTTCCAGGGAAACAGCTGTTTGTTTATTTACTTTTTCTGTTTCTCTCTGTCCCCCAGGGCCCTCCCTGATGCCACCGGCTGGGCTGCAGTGCACATCCTGGTGTATCCTATCTTCCGCCAAGTTGCCTTGAAACTGGGGTGGCTCGTTCACATCTGTTACCTGGACGGTCAGGACTTGCAGGTCTGTGACCCCAACCTCATCCTTCACATAAATCTGCAAATCAAATATGTTTGGTCCTGTTTCAAAATCTAGCTGTTCCTTCCCAGTGGTGACAACCTAAAACGAAGTGCAAAATTCTTAGTAACCATGTGAAAGAAGATCTGTTTTGCATGCATGCACTTTGCAAAGGAATATTCCTAGGAAGGAAGCATCTGGCGTCCCAGAAACCAGCATTCTTTCACTGTCAGAGGAACCAGTTGTTTTGCCTTAGTCCTTCCAACATAAGCTCTATGATACTTCACTAAAGGGACTCCTGCATGTGATGCTGCGTTTCCTAGGAAAGAAAAATAGGAGACATTCTGATGCAATTGACTGGAGATGGAAAGCCTGATAATTAAAAAACAGAAAGCCCTCCACTACTTGGGGGTAGGCTCCTAGAAAAATCCTTTAACTACCCTGAATATAGTTGGATTTCCTCATTGTTAAGAAAGAATACTGAGCTTTCCCGGGATTGCCGTTAAGTGATATCTTGACTCATCACTTCATTCTAATTTTCCCAGAGCCACATCCAAAAATAAACATCTACGTAAGTAATGATATTTACTTAATCAACAGACTGTTCACTTTCTTTGTGCCTTTCCACACATTCTTCCATTGTCAGGAGCTTTTGTTCTCTGCACTATCAGTATTTTGGAGATGTGGGAGGGATGCGAGGAACCAGGGCCAGAGAGACATCACCAGAATCTAGAGCTATTGCCAGCAGGAACTCTGGCGGTCTGTGTTGGGAGGGTCCTGCTCAAACCAACAGGAGACCAGCCTGGGACTGTTCGTATCTATAGGCACAGACTCCCAGCAACTTAGAGCCTTGAACTCCCAGAAAGCCTGGAGCCCTTCGGGACACTGAGGACTAAATTCCATGTATGTCCTTAATTATGCCAATAGAACCTTTTGGTTATTAGTATGATTGGGGCCAGGTGATGAGACACTCAGCCTCTTGCAGTGAAGACAGAACTTGGCTCTAATTCCATTTCCACCACTGAACTTCTGGGTGGCCTTGGGAAAATCACCTTCCCTTTCCCTGAGTTTGTTTCCATGTGATTGTAACTAGGGAAATAATCGTTGCCCTAGTTAAACAGCTGAAGAATGATACAAGGTATTAAAAAGCTAGGTTAAGGTACTATGGAAACTGAAGGAGAAAAAAGTTCACTGTGAACTGTGTTTAGCTGGGGAAGGCTTCGTGGAGGAGTTGGTAGGTATTGTGTTGGACGTTGCAAGTTCTAGGTTGGTTAAGAGGAGAACAGAGCCACAGATGTGAATGAGTACTTGTGGTGAAGGAAGAGGGCATGGAGGATTGTTGAGCAGGGGGAAAGACGTATTCTTATGTCTACCGGTGAACAGAAGCAGCCTAGGAGGCACATAAGTGGAGATGAACTGTTCTCTATGCTGGGCACTTGGTAGTGAGGGGCAGCACAGGGGTCAAACACATAGACGCTGGAGCCAGACTGACTGGCTTCAAAGCCCAGTCTTCCCATTGCTTGACCTTCCTGTGCCTCAGTTTTCCCATCTGTAAAATGGGGATAATAACACCTACTTTTTGGGTTATGAGGATTCAATGAGCTAATCTATGGGAAATACTTAGAAGACTGTCTGGCACTGAGCAAACACTCTGCAAATGGTGTCTTTTCTAATCATTAAGTAGTCAAAAACTGTTCAAGGAATACATGTCCACTAAAGCAGGTGGACTTCTGTTGAGATGATCCGCTCTCATGATTTACACCCTGGCTTCCTGATTTACACCCTGGCTCCCTGCTAAGCCTGGAGCCCCCTCCTGCACGCCAAGCTTGGATAGATCCTTGACCTCAGTATTACCTGTTGCCAGCCTCTTCTCCTTGGGGAGTAGCTCTCACACCCCAGAGGAAGGAAATAGAACAGTGAAAAAATGGTCCAAAAAAGTTGTATCTTGGAACCAGAAGAATGGTGTTGCTCTCAACACAAATGGAAAAACTGTTCTTGTTCTTGTTACCAGCGTTTATTGAACATTTTTGTGCCAGACTTGCCAAGTCATTTTGTGGAGCATTTCATTTAATTATCACAATGACCATAGGTTGATAAAACTTCCTCCGTTTCACATTTAAGGAGATTAACTAGGAGAGGGAGGTGAAGGAGCTCTCCTAAGGTCATAGCTGGGAGTGATGGAGCCTCAATTTGGTTGTGGGCAATCTTGCTACAGAGTTTTAGTGAAAGACAGTAAGTTTTGCTTTAGGCATGTTAAATTTGAGGTTATTCTGGATAAGGCCGAGCACATTTGTAGGCCACAGTGCTCACGATGGTAGATGGGAAAAGAGAGGAGTCAGGCTCAGAGATGGACAAATGAGAGGGGCAGGTGCTGGCCTCCAGAGGATCTCAGAGAGCCCCTCTTTCCACAGCCGGCTGGCAGTCACTCCTCCCTGGCCTCTTAAGCTATGCTTCTGGTGCTGCTCCAAGAGAATACCCTTGACCCATGATTAGCTACAAGTGGCTAAATGAGGATCCAACATCCCTCTTGCTGGGCAATAGCAAACCAGTGCAGCATGAGGGCTATGAACAAGGATTCTTGGAGCAGCCTGCCTGATTGCAAATCTCAAGCCTGCCATCACTCAAGCTGTGTGAACTTGGGCAAGATGCTCAACCACTCTATGCCTCAGTTTTCCCGTCTTCAGTGTGCAAATAACAGTACACCACTTCACAGCATTCTTATGAGGATTAAATGAATGCCTTCACAAAATATTTAGGGAAATTGCTGGCATATGGTAAATGCCTCGTTAATGAAATGTTAGCATTCTCCTCCTCATTATTATCATTACTCCTCTTCACCACTCCCTACACCACCAGAAGTCTCAATAGCTGTGTCCCAAAGCAGGGAGGCTTGGCCTCTTGCATAATTTGGAGTTTACCCTCAGAAAGTACAAATGAGTCACAAGAAATGGTAACCTAGACTCGCCATCCTCCAGAATGTCAAGGCTATCCAAGGAGGGGCCAGGTTCTGCCACAGAGATTTTCATGTCTGGAAGGCTGCAGGAGTAACTCTTGTGAGTGATTTCGGTTGGAGAGTAGGATCTTCTTGGAGGGATGGTAGATGATGTTGGGTAGTTTCTGGGGAGAAGCAATCAGTTCTTAAGAACAGTTTCATGAGTTGTGAAACTGTGGCCATCTTAGTACCAACACAGGGTTGTACGCAGCTGTGGGGTGTGGTGCAAGGAGCGCATATGACTAGGACAGTACACCAAACACTTGAGCCTAGCTGAGTTGAGGTGCTAAGCAATCTGCCCTTTCTAGAGGTTAGGAACAGGATGAAATTCTTCCTTGATTGACAACACTGCTTGAATCCCATGGAATGTGGGAAGAGCAAGTCCCATGAAGACAGAGTTGAGAGCTCACCCAAACAGTGATAGATGTGCATGGCAATGTGACAGAAAGCCTAGGACTGGAAATCAGGAGACTGAATGAAGTTCTTATTTCACCTTTTACAGCTATAAGATCTCAGATAAATCGTTTAAACTTGCTGCATCTCTGTTATATCTAAAATAGGAATAAAACATTTCTAAATAGTGATGATATTAATGTTAGTTGTAACAATCAGGAGATCAAATCGCGTGTGGTGGTACAGTGCCTGTAGTCTCAGCTACTGGGGAGGCTGAGGTGAGAGGATCACTCGAGTCCAGGAATGCAAGTGCAGCCTGGGCAGCATAGTGAAACCCCATCTCAAAAAAAGAAAAAAAAAAGATCAGGTATGTGAATGTGCCTTGGAGCCTCTATGCAAATTCAAAGGAGCATGGTCATTTTCATCAGTAAAGGCTGTGGACCATAAATGCTGAGGAGGAGAACTCCCACATGGAGAAAACCCACATGTCTGTCAATTGATAAATGAAAAAAAAAATGGAATATAATATAATTCAGCCATAAAAAGCAATGAAGTACTGATCCAGGCTACAATATGGGTGACCCCTGGAAGTTGATGCTAAGTGAAAGAAGTCAGTCATTAAAGACCACATACTATAATGATTCCATTCATAGGAAACGTCCAGAATAGGCAAATCCATAAAGACAAAGTAGAGTAGTGGTTGCCAGGGATTGAGGGGATAAGGGAATAGGTGAGTGACTGCTAATGGGTACAGGGTTTTGTTTTGAGGTGATGAAAATATTCTAAAATTAGATTGTGGTGATGCTTGCATGACTGTGAATATACTAAAAACTACTGAATTGTACAATTTAAATGGCTGGACTATATGCTGTGTGAATTATACTCAATAAAGCTGTTTTTTAAAATGAGAGCACTGGAGCCAGACTGCCTGGCTTCCAATCTCAGCTACCTACTAGCTGTGCAACCCAGGGTAAATTACATAACCTCTCTGTGCTTCATTTTCCCCATCTGTGAAAAGGAGGTAATAAGATAGATACAATCCTTATGTTTTGAGATGAGAAAAGCAAACACATGCAAAGCACCGTCAACAGTACTCAGTATACACAACTCGCTGTATAAGGGTAAGAAATTGACAAGGCTTACAGGAACCGAGGAGCAGCAGCAGCTGTTAAAGACAAGCTGGATGTCTAGGGAGTCGGTGGACAGGGCAGTTCAGTCACAGAACCAGCGTCTGGGACCCAGGAGTATAAACCGCATGCTGCAATGTAGACTGATTGTGTGCTCCTTACCTCCCCGAGGGCTCCCCTGGGGTGATGAGAATACCAGAAATCCGGGCTCTGGCCTTGAGTCATGGGTTCCGCAGGTCTGCTACAGGGCCCCAATATGCATGCTTTTTCCAAGCTCCCCTAGTCATTAATGATAAGCTGAGTTTAAGAGCACCCGGTGGGAACCTCAGGGAAGTAACCCTGACGCATGACCCAGAGGAATGGCAGGTTGGACCAATGGCAGAGCTGATGATAACAGCAGGAGGTTCCCAGGCCAGTTGAGGAAGGAGGTAGGGGCAGGGAATACGGAAAAAATAGGCAGACCCAGACATGGGACCCTGAAGATGCCTTAGAAGTCCTCTGCAGTTACCAGTGGAAAGCATGCAAGAAGCAGGCTTGTCCTCGCTTTAGGGAAGTGACAACTTTGGAAAAGAGTCAAATGACAAACTAGAAAACAGAGCAGCAGAGGCATGCCTCTTGAATGCCAATGGTCGGCTCTGAATTATCCAAGAGGAAACATTCACATGGTAGAGCTGGACAGTTAGACTGATATTTTTATTAAAGGGTGTATGGCTTTTTAATTAAATAAGTCTCCTCTTAGATGATCTTCTGAAAAAATCAGACTCATAGGAAAGCAGAATCACTAGACACAAGTTAATCAGGGCATGGCTTTTAAAGAGATCAATATCCAAACTACTCCACCCAAAGAATTTAGATACTGTAGGCACACCTAAAACCTGATGTCATGTGAGGGGTGGAGGCAAGAAGAAGCAGCCTTCTATTTGCAACACAGTGAGTATAATGCTTATGTGAACTGTACGGAGTAGAGAAGGTCCAAAGGCTACACAGGCATCTTAGCACAGAAGGCCCTGGGATATCTCAAACAGGACTTCTGGATCTTACAAGGGGGAAGATTAAACCAGAATGGAGGAATTAATCACCTATCTGGAATCCCATCCACCCTCATTTTCAGGATCACCTCTTTGCAGACAACACCCATGTTGGTAAGTTGTTGCTTACCTCGAAGTAGGTGCCTGACAGCTGAATCACCCTGAAGGCTTCAGTGAGGGGATTTGAGTTGATTATCTGAGGAAATCCTGGGATCACAGGTGACAGTGATGCTGATAACTTCACAGAAAACTTGTGCACTGAAGTCCCAGGTGGAGAATTCTCTGCCACGTTGCCTATAGCAGGTAAGAGGATTAGGTATAGTGCTTCTCCCCCTGTGGAGTAAAAAGGGTGCAGGATGACATGAACGCAAAGCCTTTTGCTGGGAACAGGGACTTAACAGCTTGGTTTGTGGCTTCAATTCGTAGCTCGGGGTGACGATGGGAGCTGGTCACTCCCCAAGAACAAATGCTCTTGCCAAGTGCTGGCAATGGATATGTGAGATCTTCTGGGAGCCAAGAAAACAACCACCACCAAACAACCAAGAAATCTGCTTCTGTCACTCAGTAAATAAAGCTGCTGCTTTTCTCTTGTCTCCCTGCTTCCCTTCTCTTTTCTCCCAGCCTTTGGGAAGAGCGGGGAAAGAGAACTGTGACACCTTAGGAGACAGACGTTGCCTGAAAATGTCATCTCTCTTGCCAGGACCCTGTAGCTTACAAGAGTTTGTTTTCCTTCTCCGTGTCAGTGATCTAGAGGTCATCTGAGAATTGAGTGTGCATGACTGGAGAACACCAAAATCATGGTAAATCTCTCCACATCCATTAACAATCTCAAGGACAATTTTTGGTTATTATTGTACTCTGCAGGCATCATGCAGAGGGCCAAGCAGTACTTCTTGGTTGGTAAATTAGCAATTGTTCCACAGAGGAGAAAACAAGAGGCTCAGGGACGGCATGTGAATTTGCCTTGGGCTGCCTTACAGGCAGGGAATTTTGCAATTTAAGAGAAAGCACATTTCTTCCAGGAAAGCCTTGGTACCATTCTAAGGTGCATGACACTGCAAGACTTTGCCAGTGCAGATAAAAGGAACAAGCTGTGTTCTCACATGCTTCCGTAATGATAGTTACTGTTGTGGGTTGAACAGTGTCCCTAAAAGATTCATGTCCACCCAGAACTGAAGAATGACCTTATTTGTCTTTGTTTTTGTTTTTTTGAGACAGTCTCACTCTGCCACCCAGGCTGGCAGATCTCAACTCACTGCAACCTTGCCTCCTGGGTTCAAGTGATTCTTGTGCCTCAGCCTCCCAAGCAGCTGTGATTACCAGGTGTGCTCTCACCATGCTCCTGGCATATTGTGGTATTTTTTTTAACTAATTAATTATTTTATATATTGATTATACATTTAGTTCTAGCGGGTACAGTGCATACGTGCAGGTTTTGTCATATGTATACTTGTCCAATGTTGGTGTGGCTGCAACCCATCAATCACAGCACCCCTAACTCGTCATTACATCAGGTATACTCCCAGTGCAATCCCCCCCGCCATGATAAGCCCGCGTGTGTGATGTTCCCTTTCCGGCAAGTGAGTATCATTGGTTCAAGTTCCACTCTGAGTGAGAACATGCGGTGTTTTGGTTTTCTGTTCTTGTGATAGTTTCTAGAAATGATGGTTTCAGGCTGCATCCACTGTCCTAAAAGGGACACAAACCATCCTTTTTTATGGCTGCATAGTATCCATGTGGTATTATGTGCCACCATTTTTTAATTCCAGTTGTCACTGATGGACATTTTGGTTGATTTCCAAGATCTTGCCTATTCGGTGAATATCCAACAATAAACCATACCGTGGTGCATGTGTCTTTATAGCAGCAGTGGATTTAATAATCCTGGGTATATAACCCAGTGAATGAAAATGGCTGGTCCCATATGGTACATCTAAGTTCTAGATTCCTTGAGGAATCTCCAATACTGGTGTTTCCATGAATGGTTGAACTAGTACAATCCCACCAACAGTGGTAAAAGCGTTTCCTATTTCTCTTCCCACATCCTCATCCAGCACCTGTTGTTTCCTGAACTTTTAATAATTGCCTATTCTAACGCGTGTGAAAATGGTATCCTCCACTTTGGTTGACTTGCCATTTCTCTGATGCCAGGTGATGATGAAGCATTTTTTCATGTGTCTGTTGGCCTGTATGAATGCTCTTCTTTGAGAAATGTCTGTTCGATAGAAGAGCCCGCGCACTTGCCAAGGACAACTCCTAAGTCTAAAAGAAACAAGGCTGGAGGCCCTCACGACTACCTGACTTGAAACTCTATACTACAAGGCACCAGTAACCAAAACCAGCATGTACCTGGTACCAAAACAGAGATATACGACAAGAACAGACCAGAGTCCTCAGAAATAATACCACACATCTACAGCCACTGCATTCTTTGGACAAACCCTGAGAGAAACAAGAAGGGAAAGGATTCCCTATTTAATAAATGGTGCCGGGAAAATTGGCTAGCCATAAGTAGAAAGCTGAAACTGGATCCTTTCCTTACTCCTTATAATTTGTGTATTTTTGAGAGAGATGGGGTTTCACCATGTTGGCCAGGCTGGTCTTGAACTCTTGGCCTCAAGTGATCCACCCGCCTCAGCTTCCAAAACTGCTGGGATTACAGGTGTGAGCCACCATGCCCAGCCAAGAATGATCTTATTTGGAAATAGAGTCTTTGTGGGTGTAATTGGTTGAGAGGCAGTCATACTGGATGAGGGTGGGTCCTAAATCCAGTGGCCAGTGTCCTCATAAGAAGACAGGACATGCACAGAAGGGAAAAGGCCATGATATAATGGAGGCAGAGACTGGAGTGATGCAGCTGCAAGCCCGGGAATGGAAAGCAAACGCAGAAGCTAGGAGGTAGGCATGGAGCAGATATTCCCTCAGAGCCCCCAGCAGGAACCACCCCTGCCAACACCTTGATTGGAGACTTTTGGTCTCCTGAGCTGTGAGAGAATAAATTTCTGTTGTTTTCAAGGCACCCAATTTGTGGTAGTTTGTTACAGCAGCCCTAGGAAATGAATACAATGATCATTTATCCAATGTTACAAGTAAGTGCAAAATGTAAAATCCTGTATTTCATTTACTCCTCAAACACTCCTCTCAGACAGGTATTAATGTCATCATTTTACAGATGGGGAAACTGAGCTGAAATTCACACAGCAAATGATAAATAACAGAGCCAAGATTTACACAGGTCCCCCTTCCCAGCCAGCTTCCCAATCTTGGCTGCCATCAGACCCTGAGAAGAAAACCCTGAACAAGTAGGAGGCACAGGGTGGGTAGGGACAGTAGAAGATTCTGTTCTGCTGAAAGGTATAAATGTTCTAGGAACAAACAAACCAGGATGTTTTATTTCCGTTGGTGTGTGGTGGGGTGAATGCAGAGGAGTAAATGGGAAAGGAAAAAATTGAAATATAAGCACATTCACTGATACAAGCTTTTATAAATCTAAAGTCATCTTATTTAGTTTAGAGACTAAAATGCATAATGCATAAGTTATTGTCACTCGCAGAATTATCAAGTTTTATGGACAAGGACTGTGCAAGGACTCAGAAATATCAAAACAGCTGAAGTTTAGGGTGATGCGAATATGAATAGATTTTTAAAAATCTTTTACAGTTGGCTTTAATATTATAGCATTCTTATGATAAAAACCAGGAAGGAAAGAGTATAATTGAAGTATTTGAGACAAAACTCCCAAAAATAGTTTTTCAAAATGAGCAAAATAATCTATTGCTTTGATGGGTATTTGGGGCATAATTTCCTCCCATTCTCTTTTCTCACGAGTGAAAGTCACCAGGGCACCTCTCTGAGCTGTTCATGAGAGTGTTCCCTCACTGTTCAGCAAGACAAGCACAGCAGTACAGGAAATGGAAGGTTGGCAGTCTGTCTCATGGGATGCCCACCTTCTCACCCATATTCTTCCCTTGCCCCTTCCAACCCTCCCCAGTGACTCGTGCCCCTCCAGGCAACAAGCAAAGTTAGAACTTGCTGTGTTTTTCTCAATAATAGCCTAGGGTAAGGTAGTGCCTAGCCCAAATGAATAGACCACTTCATTTACCAAGCACCTGCTCAGCTAGCATCATGCTAGGAGATCCTTGACTGCCTGATCCCCTTAATCCCAGCACAATCCTCCAACACAGGTATTGCTGTCACCATTGCGCACATCTGAGATTATACGCTCAGGAAGCGGTCATGGAGGGCCCTGGTTCATGGCATCTGGATCTTGTAGCTGACAGACTACGCATACCTACTACAGACAGTCAGTCACTCCATGCCTGTCACATGACCATGCACATAGGATGCATTGTAGTTATTCAGTGACCCTGGGACACTGCAACAACACGGCTGTGGGAGCTGGTAAAAAATTGACCTTCAACCTAGATGTTAGATCTGGATGATGTGATTTGTAAGAGGCTGTTTTTGGAACAACACGAAGAATTGAGCTGCAGTGTGAGCGTGGTGTGAGCTTGGGTAGGAGGGACTTGCTAAGCTCCACTCAGGGCTCTCCACAGCCTCACCCCAAGTGGGGAGTTCACGGTGGCTCCCAACCTTAGTGCATCTCCTTTGGGGAGCTGGGCTGTAGAGAAGCTATACTCCCCAAATATTGCCTGGTGATAGTTCCTGGTTTGCTTTGCTAGAAGTATATCCACTGATTTTCTTGAATTGATCATAACTTTGATAATTCCTGGATCTGAGAGACTAATTCTATGAAAGATCCAGCATTCCAATCCTAGGCTTCTGAATCCAAGGACAGCTCCATGATGTCTCCTTAAATCAGAGAGTTTTTCATCTTCCTCCTTGAATGGTCATATTTTGAATGGCAGTGAGGGAGATACTTTTGAGAAGTTGATATAGCCAGTGACTCTCAAGCCATTTTTATTGGGAACTGCCTGTCCCATGTATGGCGAAAGCCAGACTGTCCTTGGATATGCCCTTTCTGCCGATATTCGTGCTAGAAACAGTCTTTTTTTCAGGGTAGCCTGTCTTCCCAGGGCAAGGCCATGTGTGCCAGGGTCATGCAAATGAATCCTTAAAACTTTGAGGCAGACGTCCTAGTGACGCTGATTTTTTTTTTTTTTTCCTTTTAAACGGAGTCTCACTCTGTCGCCCAGGCTGGAGTGCAGTGACGCAATCTCGGCTCATGGCAACCTCTGCCTCCCGGGTTCATGTCATTCTCCTGCCTCAGCCTCCTGAGCAGCTGGGACTATAAGCACCTGCCACCACGCCTGGCTAATTTTTTGTATTTTTAGTAGAGACAGGGTTTCACCGTGTTAGCCGGGATGGTCTTGATCTCCTGACCTCGTGATCCTCCTGCCTCGGCCTCCCAAAGTGCTGGGGATACTGATTTTTTTAAAAAAGATAGCAAAGCTGGGTTCTCCTGACCTTAATTCAAAACCCAGTTTCTCCAGCTCTATTGCTATTTGTAAAAGAAGTAGTAGTAGTACTAATAGCAATAACAAGAATAATAAGTGACTAGGGTCCATACCCTAAAAATGGAGTAATTAATAAGATATAATATTCACAAAATGTTAAAGCCATCTGTTGTACAGGTAAGCTTAAGCAGTGTATCCAAAGGCACCCATCTGGTCAATGGCAGAGGGAAGATTAGAGGCCAGGTGCCAGCTCTCCCTAAAACACTGCATACTTTCCTTCCATTGCTGGTCTTCCACGCTTTCTTTGGTGGTCTGAGTGTTAGAGAGCAAGAAGCAGGCTCTAATGGAATTTGACTTACACATGCATCTTAATTAAGAATCGAACTAGAATTGCTTGAAGCATGTACTTTGGAAAAGAAAGAGCATGCAAAAGATTTATTGTCAGCCATGGGGCCCACTGAAACATCTTGCTTGTGGCTGAGATCTGGATGCATGATGTGCTCATTTGTCTCCCTTGAATCACTGCCTCTCCAGAAATGGACCAATGGGGCCTCCCTAGGAGCTTATGTTGGGATAATTAAGGCTTCCACAGTCTCAGAGAGGAGGAAGTTGGCCACCCTAGATCTCTGACACTGAAAGTGGAGATGTGGGTCAAGAATATGGGGTGATGCCATCTTCTTGGGGTGTAGCTGCTCTAACATAGAGCTCTGCTTTCAATACACAGAGCAGGACTCACTGAGACCATCACTCAATAGCTACCTCTTCATTCTCTCTAGTACCTAATCAAATGGCAGTGAACAAGATCAGTTCTGTGAAAAGAACAAGAGATTTGGAATCAGACCCCTGGCTTCAAGCCTTAGCTTTGCCACTACTTGACTGTGTGACCTTAGGCTGGTCCCTTGACTTCTCTGGGCTGTGGTGCTACATTAACAGCCACTAAACAAGGTCCCATTGCTAAAGAAGACTCATGGGACCCAAATGACAATGCTTACAAATCTACAGTTTTATTACACAAAACGGATACAGCATAGCAACAACATGAAAGTAAGGATACGCACTACAGCTGAAGGCTGCCTTGGCAAGAGATCCACAGAGGCCAGGTGCAGGCTAGGCTCTTACTGTTGTCTTTTCTCCATGGGATGGAAGATCGCATTTTCTTGGATCACGAACCGCCACTGTATGCACAAATGTCTTGGAATTATGGAGTCTTTGCTGGGATTTTCTTTCTGTTTTGCTGTAGGTATATTCTTGTTATATAACTGGCCTCAACAGCAGAACCCACGGAAGGTCCTCATCCACACCAGGTGCAAATAATCCATCTCACTGTTGTCAATAAACAGTTCTTACAAGCTGCTACAAACCATTCAGAAACTCCTAGAACCATGGTTACAAAGCAATACTATTAATCAGCATGCTTCATGCCTTGACCAGGGGTTAGTGTGATGCAAGAACTTCAGCAGAAAAGTTCAGGCTAATATCAGGCCTATGGAAACTTATTCTTATAGCACAGATACCACATAAGAAAATGCATATGCTCAGCCGGGCACGGTGGCTCACGCCTGTAATCCCAGCACTTTGGGAATCTGAACCGGGCGGATCACCTGAGGTCAGGAGTTTGAGACTAGCCTGGCCAACATGGTGAAACCCTACCTTACTAAAAATACAAAAATTAGCAGTGTGTGGTGGCAGCTGCCTGTAATCCCCACTACTTGGGAGGCTGAGGCAGGAGAATCACTTGAACCGGGAGGTGGAGGTTGTAGTGAGCCCAGATTGTGCCACTGCACTCCAGCCTGGGCAACAGAGCAAGATTCCGTCTCAAGAAGAAAAAAAAAAAAAAGAGAAAGAGAAGAAAATGCATATGCTCAGTAAACTATAGAGCATTGTCAAATGTTGTTTCAACATATGCAACTTTTTCCTATTTCTTTAACTTCCACAATATATACCCCTTCCTGAATGGGATGTTTACCCACCCCCTTTTTTGGGGGGAACAAGGGACAATCCAGGCCAAGCAAGATTAACAGAAAAGAGCCCTTTATAAGACATAGAAGAAAAGGTGATCCAGTTAGTGATTCTGTATGTTATATTAGGTTGGTGTAAAAGTAATTGTGGTTTTTACCAAAACTGCGATTAATTTTGTACCAGCTAGGTCATAATTGGCAAGAAACAGATGTGTTTATCTTAGAACATCACTATGGGGTGGGCCTGAGAAAGGCTTGTTTCTTTCAAATCCCTTCCAACTACACAGAGGCGAAAGTGGATGGATTCCAGTGACTGACTGACAGCTTGGGCTGGGGGTGAGGTTGCCATGGGCAAGGAAGAGCTGAGAGAAGGGACTGTCTTTTGTTCTTCTTAGGTGACTGAACAGGAAAGTGACATGATGGAAAAAGTAGAAACCTCTTGCAACATTCTTTGGGTCCTATATATAGGGTTAATTGGCTGATAGAAAGACTTTCTAGAAATGGATTCCATCTTCCAGCCTTTTCATATATGAGAGCATTGAGAAGCATTTACACTTTAATTTCCAAGAATAAGAAACTCAGTCTCAGGCCTTTGATTTCCCAACACTGGCTAGCAGAGAACCCTGGCTAGCAGGTACAGACGATGAGCTGAAGAAAGCTGTGATCGGCCGGGCACGGTGGCTCAAGCCTGTAATCCCAGCACTTTGGGAGGCCGAGACGGGCGGATCACGAGGTCAGGAGATCGAGACCAGCCTGGCTAACACGGTGAAACCCCGTCTCTACTAAAAATACAAAAAACTAGCCGGGCGAGGTGGCGGGCGCCTGTAGTCCCAGCTATTTGGGAGGCTGAGGCAGGAGAATGGCGTAAACCTGGGAGGCAGAGCTTGTAGTGAGCTGAG